CGGACAAAAGGAATCAACAAGACAGACCGATTCTGGCCTGTATTTCGCTCACAAGATTCTTGCCAAATGTCTCTTGTACTAGACTAGACAAAATCTCAGTCTCGGTCACCAAATATGTCAGCTCTCACTCCAGAACCTCCAACAGAGGTGGGTCAGGACCCGAGGTCGTTCGACTATCCCAGTTGGGTACTCCAGTGGGGTCTTAGTTCAGGTCACCAACCTCTCTTGGTTTGGGATGTTCGACCCAGGCCGGTCACCGGAAGCCGAGCGGCTCCCGGCTTCGGATCTTCATCTTCACCGGTGGCCATCCCGGATGCGTGGCCATGGATGGAATGGGCGCCCGGGATGGGCGCCCGGGATCCCGGAGAGGACCTTTGTTTGGATTTGGGGATGCCAAAAACACCAGCACGACCTGTACCAGGACCCTCCAGGCTAGGGGTGTCTATTTATAGCCCCAACTAGCTGTGATTCGGGGTGTCCATTAACCACCCTTTTGGGGGTTGTAGGTGGACCGTTCGGTGGCATTCTGCACTTGGACCCGCCGGACCGAGCACTTCGCCCTTCGCCGTGAGGGAGGTCGGCTCCACCATCTAAGAGGTTGACCCTCTTGACCAGCGGCCCCTGACTGAGAGTTTGCTTACTCCTTTTCTGCCCTGATGGCCTGATGGTGATATCTAAACTCGTGATGAATCAACCCCCCAGACACGGATTGATACTTTCTACATCTTTTTGCTCATGTTTTTTGCCCTGATGATATCCTGATTATGGTAAGAGTGGATTAATAGAGTATAGAGTCTTGATGAATCAAAGAGACATGGATTGTAAAAGCCTCTTCAGATGTGATCTCATATGGGAAGTTTTATTGATGACTCTCAGCTGGAGCTACTTTGCTGAGTCAGACTAGAACCTGGGCTCCGGGTTTTTGGTTCCCGGATTGGTGTTTTCGGTTCCCGCGGTGTTTTTGGTTCCCAAGTGGGTTTTTGGTTCCCGCGCGGCGGTGTTTTCGGTGCCCGGCTCGGTTTTTTCAGTGCCCGCGGGTGTTTTCAGTTCCTGTGATGGTGTTTTCGGTACCGGCCTTGCGTTGAAGAGGGAAAAAATGCGCGGATGTTTTCGGTTCCCGCGTCCGGTGTTTTCGGTTCCCGCGTTCCGTGCGTTTAGGTCTCCGGTGTTTCTGGTTTTCGCGTCCGGTGTTTTCGGTTCCCGTGTCGGGTGTGCTGTGATCCCGTGTGAAATGGTGGGAGTCTTGTGTTGTCGCGGGACAACGCGAAAGAATTTTTGTAAAGACACGAACAAACACGAACCACCAAAAGCCACAATCACTACCACCACCACCACCACCACCACCACCACCACCACCACCACCACCAC